CCATGACCCCATCCACACCCACAGCCATGACTCCATCCACATCCATGACCACACCCACAGCCATGACCCCATCCACATCCACACCCACAGCTATGACTCCATCCACAGCCATGACCACACACAGTCATGACCCCATCCACATCCATGATCACACTCACAGCTATGAGTACATCCACAGCCATGACCACACCCACAGCCATGACGCCATCCACATCCATGACCACCCTCACAGCCATGACCCCATCCACACCCACAGCCATGACCAAACCCACAGCTAAGACTCCATCCACATCCATGACCACACACAGTCATGACCACATCCATGACCACACCAACAGCCATGACCCCATCCACATCCACACCCACAGCTATGACTCCATCCACAGCCATGACCAAACCCACAGCCATGACTCCATCCACAGCCACACCCACAGCTATGACTCCATCCACAGCCATGACCAAACCCACAGCTATGACTCCATCCACAGCCATGACCAAACCCACAGCCATGACTCCATCCACAGCCACGACCACACCAACAGCCATGACCACATCCACACCCACAGCTATGACTCCATCCACGGCCATGACCACATCCACAGTCATTACCCCATCCACATCCATGACCACCCTCACAGCCATGACGCCATCCACATCCATGACCACCCTCACAGCCATGACGCCATCCACATCCATGACCACACACAGTCATGACCCCATCCACATCCATGACCACACACAGTCATGACCCCATCCACATCCGCACACACAGCTACGACCACATCCACATCCAAGATCACACCCACAGCTATGACTACATCCACAGCCATGACCCCATCCACACCCACAGCCATGACCCCATCCACATCCATGACCACACCCACAGCCATGACCCCATCCACACCCACAGCCATGACCCCATCCACACCCACAGCCATGACCCCATCCACGGCCATGACCCCATCCACATCCATGACCACCCTCACAGCCATGACCCCATCCACAGCCATGACCCCATCCACATCCATGACCACACCCACAGCCATGACCCCATCCACACCCACAGCCACAGCTATGACCCCATCCACATCCACACCCACAGCCATGACCCCATCCACATCCACACCCACAGC